TGAGCGTACCAACAACAATAACGCCGTCGTCATTTAGCGCTTTTCCGGGGATTTCTGATTAATATATTTGTTGGGGCCATGCATAACAATTTTGGGAAGTTTTCGGAAATCATTGAAACACAATGTGCAAAATATTCAACCTTAGATGGTAAAGGATAAACCAAAACTAATGAACATCTCGAATACTTAAACCGACCCCAAATATAATAATTTAAAAAATAAATTTCCTGTCTGCAGCGGGCCAGATATAATTCGTCCATAGTCAGCCACATTTGATGGTGATTCCTGCGCTATACGATACCACATAATCTATATATATAAAAATGGAGACAAAAAATTCGAAATTGCATCAGTTGAGAATGGCTGGGCCGATTTTTCTCAAATTTTTTTTAAGATGTTCGTAATTGCCAGGTGAAGGTTTTTAAGAAAGAAAATTTTTAAAAAGTCAACCAAATAATTATAAAAACTGCAAAAACTATTTATTGATGTCTGGGATTTGAACTCGATACCGTTGTCTTTATTTACTCTATTGTGTATTATATTATATTGGTTGCTATTGGTTAATCGGGCATGTTTGTTGATTTGTATTATTATTTTTTGTAAATATATCTTATATATAAATTAATGACGGTGTGTAGATTATACCTATGGGAAGAAGATACGCTAATTTAAAAAGGGTTAAATTTGGTTTTTTTTATTCATCGGATTTTAGTACGGTTAGGTTAGGTTAGGATTTATAGGTAGGTGGAATTAAGTAAAAACGTCAAACTTGGTATAACTTTGGTACTTTTTGAGTTAAATCATACACTTACGTACAAACAGCACGGGGTCCGCGATCTACAGCAGGTAAATTACCTATCTGATAATGTACTGCTGCAATTCAGAATTTTTATTCCGGGCAACAGAAAAGTTAAGATAAATCTAGAACATCATACACCCGGGATAGTCGAATTGCACTTATTGCCTACAAACAAATGGTCGAATTGCACTCGGGTAAAAAAAAAGTAGTGGTCGAACTGCACTCGGGTAAAAACCAGGTAGTGGTCGAACTGCACTCGGGTAAAAACCAGGTAGTGATCGAATTGCACTTGGGCATTTGAAGGGGTTAGGGCTAACACTCATTTTCCTTCCCACTTACAGGCTTAGGACTGACAATGATTTTAATCATTGGCGTGGTTAAAAATGATTGTTTTAGACATCACATTATGTTAATTATATATATTTACATTATAATTATTCTATTATACATCATATTATATTTTATTATACTATACATATTATTGTTATTATAAAACATTTTTTTTTTTTAATCGTCAAATTTAAGTATCGTCATTATTATATATATATTTTTTTGTCCTTTCGATTATTTTTTGTAGTAATGACTAACTGTATTCAAAAATTCTAGCCTGGTAATACGCTTTTGAGTATATAAGTCAATATATTTTTCAATATTATTTATTTTTTTCTGATACCGTGTCGTTGATGGTCTTGTGTCAGTATTCTGCATTAAAATGTAGGTATCGATTTGTAATTGAGTTAAAACATCAATGAAAACAAATATATTTGGATGTGGCGATGAAAATGATTTATTGAACTTCGCGTGGAAAGACTCGCATGCATTAGTAGTTCTTTGACTAGAAATCGTATCTGAAGCCCAAATATGAGGCGGAAAAAGTCCTTCGTCAGAAATATAATTATCAACTAAATAGTCACTAAAATCTTGAACTGCTTGATTTTCTGGGATAGTTGACATAAAATCTTCTGTATAAGAATCGCCAACTTCAACTGCATTTAAAAAACTTAAACCAAATATATTACGAAGCCATTTTCCAATTTCATTTTCAGATTTGTAATCAGTTGAAAGTCCAAAATTTTGTATTTTACGATACCATGATTGTGATAAGTGGAATCTACAACCTATTATTTTACTTAAAGGAAACATTTCATTGATTGCATTATGGATTGCTTGCTCAAAATCTGCTACAAATAAATTTGGTTTAAAAATTAAACCAAATTCATTGCACTTTTCAGTAATTATTTCAAACATTTTTTTATACGTATCTATAGTTTTATTTGGGAGCAAAGCGAATATTAATGGTACATAATAATTATTGTGAACTGTAGGTAGTGTGAACATTTGATAATAAAATTTTGGACAATGTGAAAATGTGCCATCCACAAAAATAATCGTTTTTTCACATATATATTTTAAATTTTTTTCTGTTGAAAATATTATAATGTTATATGCAGAATTGTTATCTAGTAAAAAATCTTCATCAATATTTGTTTTAATTTCTAATTTGCTAATAGTGTCATGTGTGTCATTAAGAGATTTTGGTAAAATCGGATAGTTTTTCCGGTGTTCATGATATATATTTTTTCGTATTCGATTTATGTCGTTACTATTTAATAATTGTGTTAACTCTACTGGAGCGTTAATAATTTCTTCCCTAATAATTTTTAATGGTTTATAAATACCTTGGTCAGCTGCTTTTCTCTTTGCTGAATTTGAAATCATTTTCCGAGGTAAATTAAGTGGTTTTTCATGGTTGTGTATTAACTCACATCGAAAAATTACTTTAGAACATTCATCTAAATATAGTTTTGAAAGACAACCACGATGAGTACAACGCCATTTAACACCATCATTTACATGTTTTTCTTTGTAAAACGAATAATTTTGGTACATGATTAAGTCACGGCCTCGCTCACTTTTAATAATTTCTAAATTGTTCATACTTACACCGCGACGTAAAAATGTGTACTAACCTAACCTTTACATAGGTCTACAATCTACATAGTACACGGTATACAATATAAGTATTAATCTTATACTTTTATTGATAACTACCTATTTATTATCCAGTTAGGTTAGATTCTTTTGTCGATTTTTGGTGACAATAATATTATCTGCGTTATCTAAATGGCACGAACTAATATATATATATATATATATATATAATGCTATTAAATAAGTACGCCGTAGCGTTTTTCAACATAAACATCAAGCAGTTCAAGATTTTAGTGACTATTTAGTTGATAATTATATTTCTGACGAAGGACTTTTTCCGCCTCATATTTGAGCTTAAAATATAATATAATATAAAGTATAATATAATAATTATAGGAAAATGAGTGTGAACCAAATGTTTAACCCCTTCAAATGCATGATAATTTTATTGAAATACTTTTTGAGCCCAAGTGCAGTTCGACCACTACCTGTTTTTTACCCGAGTGCAGTTCGACTATTACCTTTTTTTTACCCGAGTGCAGTTCGACCATTACCTTTTTTAAATCCAAGTGCAATTCGACTAAAATAAGTGCAATTCGACCATACCCCATACACCGAATATTAAATAACGCATTGAACAATGTTTGAGTCATATAGAGTTGGTACATTTAACGGGAAACGAAGTGCACGGGATCAGCTAGTACAATAATATAATTAAATAGGTAGCAGATTTAATTGCATTGAAAAGAAAAATTTGTATAATAGCACTAAAATTGCAAAATAAAATGCACTATAAAAATGCAAAAGTTATATAATAAAAATAATTAGTTTCTCTAATATAATATAATATTAATATACAATATAATGGATAATTGTTATTTTTTAACTAAAATGTATAAATTAATACATTTCAAAATTATGGTCTTTAAAATTATATCTTTTATTATTTTTTACGGCTTTTCAACACGGATAACATCGTCTTTTAAACTTTCAACTAAATTTTAATATCTTTCAAAATTATTTGCAAAGAAAAGTGCAGCATGTTAAGCCAAGTTGTTCCAGGCATCTTGTGATAAATGGTTCTTAGGCTAAAGGTACATTGGTATAAATGGTATAGGAAACCTATATATTATAATATACTCTATATCAGCGGTTCTCAACCTTTTTATATTCACGTACCACCTACAAAGATTGAAAATTGTTATGTATCACTTGACCAAATAACCTTTTTATTTTGCTTCTCAAAAATGTAGGTGTACGTTCTATTATATGTACTTACTGAATTTTTGGAACTTCAAAAGTTCAAAATGAAGACAATATAAGCCTTTAATGCACAAAAAGAAAATTAAATATGTACAGTTATTAATATTATTATTAATATCAAATATACCAAATAAAATTTAATGTGAATAATGACTTGTTCCATTTTTTTTTTATGAAGGGATATATTCTTAGCTCACCACCTAATAGCATCTGCTTACCACTAGTGGTTCACGTACCACTGGTTGAAAAACGCTGTAATAGATTTACTTTTTACGTTAAACACTCACAGATTTTTGGAATTATATGAATAATATTGTCATTTAAATAATGGTTTTATGGTACGAGCACAGATTATCTGCTTGTATCGAACTCTGTTCGTAATAATAGCGTTTTTATATTATACATTTACGTAAATAAAATATTTTGTTCGTTTAAACATATAAGACACAACTGCTAAAAATTACATTATACAATTGAATAGACAGAATATATTATTATATTGTATAATTCAGTTAATTTATACCTATTGAATTCTGATGATGAGATTTTATTTATCTCGTTTCTAAAAAAAGTTATTAATTATTCTTAATTACTATTTAATTTAAGACGTTGTTGCAACAGCAAGGCAAATCAGATTGTTAAATACAGATATACCATATTATAAATGGAGATGTCTGGTTTTATTTTTAGTGCGACAATTAGACATCACCAAGTATGATTTTTTGGTGTTGAGATCAGTACCTATATATAAATTTGATTTTGACATTTTCCATTTGTCATTACTTATAAAAATTTAAATTGGATCTAAACATTATATTCTTTTATAATATAATTCTTAAGACATTTTTAAGTGCCCTTTGAAATTGTAATTAACTGAAGATGTCTTGTATTTTATCTCAGGTTTTAAATTATCATAATATAATAATTGTCTACATTATTATAACGCAGAACCAATTTTTCGTTACAGGCGTGATCGGTGGCGCAGAACAAGCAGCGGCGTTAGGCGATGGCCGCGTACGGCGTGTACGGTAACGGCAGTTGCGGCGGTGACGTTTACGCGCACGGTGACGACACCGATCTGTATCACCAGGTGGTGGTGCTCTCGAAACCGGACGGCTCGTGCGTTCGGAGCCAGGCCAACGGTAGCGGCGGCGGCGGAGGCGGCGGCGGTGGTGTCGGCAGCGGCCTGTGCGTCGGCGGCGGTGGCGGTGCCGACGTCGCGGAAACAATCAACGGACGGTACAACGGCGATCACCCGCACCAACAGCAGCCGTATGACTCTGCGCGTGGCGGTGGTACCGGTACCAGCGGCGGCGGCGTCGGTGGCCAGCGACATCACCGCCGGTCGTTCTGGTGCCGGACCACGACGTTGGCCACAATCAGCGCCCTGTTGGCCACGATGTTTTGCGTTACGTGCGTTGTTTTCATCTACTACAACTGTGAGTACAACACATGTTATCATAATGTTATTATTAGAAATGGACCGGTACCGGGTCTCGGTTCTTCGGTTCCATCGGTTCTTCGAGAATGTATTGATGTTCCTCAACAAAAAGTCTAAATGCCCAAATTACTATAAATTATTGTCCACAACAATAATAATAATTATTATTTATTTATTACGGGCAGTGAGCCCAATATCATTTACAAAAATATATATATTTAACCTAAGTGGGTGTTACCCACTTACCCAACTTTACAAGTAGCAATTTTGTAGTAAAATGACACTAAATTGCATGTGTAATATTATAATAATGGAGATATAATAGTAATAATATAAAACACATTATATAAGATATAATGAGACATACAAATTAAAATGTTTAGGTACATAATAGTAATAATACAATATTTGTTATGAACATCTAATGAACAAGTGCTCATTGCCAAGGCGTATCATCCTATCAATCGGTTGGTTTCTGCCGTAATTAGTATTGTGTGCACTTCAATTAGGTCATCAATCGCCTATGCAATTTTGAGATTGTGTTTCCCGCATTTCCCTTTGTTACTTTACTGCCAACAATGCCGCATACTATGATTTGCAGATGACATGCAATTATTGTTTATGAGAATTAACTTATATTAGAATACTGCGTACTTCTTAAAAACAAACTTAATACATTGTCGGGTGGCCCGAAATACTTGGTTTGGCACTCAATATTGATAAATGACGTTCTATGTCCTTCACCAGAGGTCGGTCTCCAATAGTTGTCAAATAAGTAATGAATGAAACTGAACTCCCATTAGTTGACTGTAAACGTGGCTTAGGCTTAATATTCGTTCCTTCCCTATCTCTACGGCGACACATTAACAACATTATATGCTTGGCTTATAAACTACTATGTTTCAATAAAATAGTTTTTAGTGAATTTAAGCTTGCCAATTCGTTTAAATCTCTGTGTTGAGCTTTTTCGTTGGACCAGTTTTCGAATACGGTTAGAAAATATAGTTACACTTTAGAAATTCCCTGCCCTCCTCATGACTAAACTCAAATTAAATCATCTTTAGCTGACCGTATACTTACTCTCATAAATTCCTTCCTCATAAATCCTATATTTTCCGTTATATATTCTACTTCTCTTCTTTTAATTGTTAATTTTAAAGTCCCTTCACGGCTTACTCGCCATAAAACTCCTTTTCACATTCCTCTGTGCTCAACTAATTATATTTCAAATTAATCAATTAATTGAGTAATTAAGTTATTAAATGAGGACCCCTCTCTCTAAATCCAGTTGTCAGTTAGTAAATATTTTCACATGTTCCATATTTACTCGGGAGCAAACCTGTTTTATACATGAATAAATAAAACAATAAATGTTATTGATGTCGTATCACAAATTGTATTCTTGCCAAGTGATTGTAATAACTTCCAAATTTCCGAAAGCAATTCAATAACAACTGTATGATGACTTCGGAGGTCATGGTTTATCATTAGAGATTGCAGTTTTAGCATACGGCCATCGTCCGTTTGGATATCTAGATCTTTGTTATAGAAGTCTAACTGAAGTTATGTCGTTGATGTATCTACCTACGCTGTAAAACGTGTTCCATATAATACGATAGGGACGTGCACCGTATTGTACGTGGTGGTCATTAGGTCGTTGGACACTTGACGACATAATAATATTATGTTGCAACGACCGACGCTCATGTTGTACTTTTTCGTATAATGATATTTGTATGAAAAAATATTTCGAAAACTTATACCCATCTCATCGGGTCGACTGAGGCCCCTTGACCGAATGATTTGTATGATAAACATATATATAATATACAATACCTACGTTAGGTTACATATTATAATACGCTGGCGGGTGATAAAATAAAACAAAAATATGTTGTGGAAATAATATTATATAAACGCGATGAAAACTATTGTGTCCGAATGCAGAGAGTATATTATCATAATCATAAATCATAATAGGTATAGATTTTCACGGTGTATATATATTACATAAACTGCGTAATACGCGTATGGCGTATGTAGGTACATATAATATACTATTATACGTTGAACACCTACATAATTTATTATACATTTACAATGTATGGGCAGAACCGTGGGTAGGTAAAGTTATTAAAATCTATGGCCGCCGGACTGACAGACATTATTGTGTAGACATATTATTTGAACATATCGGTTTTATTAGGTAGGTGCTTATATAAAAACCAATAAGACAAACCGAGAGAATGCGATGAGTTACTACCGGTGACGATACGAACGGTTGGTGCGTATGTGTGGGTGAAGCGGCCAAGTCGAAGGAGATATTTTATCACCGGAGATAAAAACAAAAACATTTTTCGGAAATATTATCTGGTTTTACGCTCAGCGTTTATGTTATATAACGACGATAATATATAATGACTAATAGAAGTTTACCGAATGCGGGGTGATTATTTTAACGCAAACACTGCCATTGTCCCAGATACTTTTTGTGTTTTCGACAATTTTTTTTCTGTGGCCGTTAGCTCTTACATTTAGACTGTATTATAGGTAGGTACATAAAACAATATTATGCTGGATATTCCTATAAAAATAAAAACTTTTTTTCTATTTTTCATCATAGCGATTTTTGAGTTTTATTTAAATTTTAGTTTAGACAAGAGACAGCAGGGAGGAGATTGACGAAGAACACACTTTGAAATAGTTATATTGGGTTTTACTTTTCTCGTTTAAACTTAAATCTAAAAATCTAAAAAATGAAACGTGTTAAAAATGTAACGTGATGATCTATCGTTGTATATGATTTATATATAATATTATGAATACTGCACAACAATTGACTGGCCGTTGTGTTGAAATAAAAAAAAAAAACTTTCTGTGTACGAAAATATACAGATGTAAAACTGCGGTCATCTAAACATTATTGTCCTGCAGTGCGGCATATTACGGCGGTACAAACGCGATTAAAAACAATGGTTTGAGTAATATACATGTTAATAATATATATTATTATTATTATTATTTATACAATACAAGTGTTTCCAGAGGTGGGACTGAACCGCTGTCGAAATTATATTCTCAGACACCTACCAACCGCGTAATTAGCACAGGGTTTACTCAATATTTGTATTACAATCGGTTTGAAGAAACGCAAACATTTTAGGATTATACACCTATTATTATTGTAGTCGTAATTACACGGGTGTAGTTAAAATTATGTGGGGAACAAAAACAGTTTTTTAAATTAAATATATTATATACACAACCCAACTCACCTAGGAATTTCCCGAACCCATAATCACCATAGGTACCACGTCATAATATTTTACTCTGAGTCTTAGAACGCCTTCACTTTAAATAATTTAAAGTGAAGGTTGTGGTTAATTGTGGTTAATAAATCATCGCATTATTGTGCGAGATAAATTTAATTGATTTTGGCCACTCTAATATATTGTCTAAATTATGTAGTTTACTTTTAGTCTATATTAAAATCCAATAAATATAATTTTGCACTACCTGGAAATTATGTGGAATTACGTCAATGCTTGTGTATAACTATTAGATAAATTTCTACCGTGGAAAATATCGGCTACCGCCGCCAACCTGCGAAATCATACGAATGAAATTATGATATGAAATATTATAGTTGATATCATCATATGAAATTATCATATTTACATTTAATATTTAATGTCATAATAGTTTGCTCGGAAACAAGAATGCAATGTAGTTAATGCATTATACAGTACTCCCTATGCATGTGTACAGCAGATTGCGACTTATATTTTCCATGCTGTTAAAAAGATCGATTAATAAAAAAATATATTGTAATAATACTATAGTAAATATAGCATATTATGATCTTTGTATTGATATAATATTATCTTCATACTATCTATTACGAAATTTTTTTACTTTTACCATCCATTATACGTTATTATTATTCATTGACCTTTTAATAATATTTATAAATAATAATAATATAATAATATAATAAAATAATAATGATAATGTTGTAAGGCCTTGAAAACTCTTGGATTTATCAACAGGCTGGCTAGGGATTTTAAATTAGATTCGTCATTTAAACTACTATATTAGAATACGGTGTGGTTGTTTGGTGTCCTTATACTGCTAATGATTCTCTCCAACTTGAAAGAGTTCAGCGCCGGTTCCTTCGTTCTGCTGGTTTCTTATTAGGCATTGAACACCCTCCTCACGATTATTCAGCTGTTGCTGCTAAATTAGGTCTCGTCTCTCTAGCTGAACGTAGGCGAATGCTTTGAGTAAAGTTTCTAAAGGGACTGTTGTCTGGTCAAGTTGATTCAACTGATTTATTATCCTTACTGAATTTCAAGGTCCCTCCCCGTCCAAACCGTTCTAGTGTTCCTTTTCTTGTCCCTATATGTCTGAGCAATTATATGAAAAATGAGCCTATTAGGAGTTTAATGTTAATGGCCAATGAGGATCCCTCTATAGATCTTTAATTTTACTATTTGTTAATATTTTTTAGTTTTTTAATGTTAATCAGCTTTAATGACCTAAATCTAATTAACTTTATTTATCTATCATTATTTGTAATTAAACTTTTTACTCTGTTATGAATGTTATTGTAATTCTGTAATTTGTATACATTTTAAAAATGGTTTCAAACCCGTTTATTATTATAAAATAAAATAAAATAATTTTTGTGGACAATTTTTGTTATTTGTCAAGCGAGCACTTACACCGATGTGTCACTCCGTTTCCAGAAGGTTTTTCATTTATTTTATATGATTTTTTAGCTGAGAAAGAGACAGATTGTAATATACTTATCTAAATTTTCGGAGAAGTATATTCTTAAATAAATTATTTTGAATACCACAAGGAAAAAATAGGTGCTATAAGTGATTCCCGAAGTTTTTCCCTCGTTGTGTAACGTTGCAGAAACGAAATTTTATTTTATATTTAATGCCGAACCGTAAACATCAGAGGTATTATTGTAGGAATAAGCATTTTATCGGGCCGTCGTGTCACGCAGCCATATTTCCGGTGTAAGCGGGTTAACCCATATAAATGCATTCACTGTTTTACGATATTGCCATGGGCAATAAAAATATACTATATAGACCTCATAATAT